TTTTTGGGTCAAATGACAATACAACATCGCGATTTGGATTCCCAGTAATTCATATTGTTAACAAAATCATTAATTTGAGTTTTTATAAACAGATTTTTCATAGCAAAGCAAGGAATAACTATTACTTAATCTTTACATAATGGCACATACTCAGTAAACTGTTTAACTTTCACGATATGATAATCCAAGTGTTATTGCAAGGACAATAGTTCACTAAAGCTGCTATAACTAGGGATTGTAATAAAATGTTTTACGAATATCCGCCTCTTGTTAAAAAAATAAGTACTGTAAAATGTGTATTAAAAGCCGCAGCTTCTAATAAAATGGTACAATGCAATAGAGGGATGGCGGCTTCTATTAGAGCATCTACACATATGACAAAATGGTAAATTTTGGGTTCTCAATTGTTCAAAAAGAATTGGTGCGGCTTCTATTAAGGATGCAGCTTCTAATACAGATTTTACGGTAAGGCTGTTTTTGTTCAACTGTATAGTGACCTGCTTCTATTGTAGCACGTTGTAAGAACGATACATACTGCCCTCTGGTGACAAACCAATTGTCTATCTCACTGTCAATAATATCGTTGTTTTTTTCAAAAGAGGCTGAGAGCAAAATGAGCCAGGGGATGGTGAAGGAAATAATGAAAAGAAAATGACTGAGAAAAAGCTAATTCTTTTTATGAGCAGATCAAACCATACATCAAATCCATGCTTTCAAGTTCAGCTATATACAGTACATTATATAGATACAAGACAAACATTTTCAAAACAACTGAATTATATACTTATTTTTTACACCAATAAAATGAAAATTAAAATAAAGAGACTTATATGGGGGGGGGGGAGACTAAAAAACAAGCAGTAACAGTACAGGAAGCAGCTGTATGCGGAAATATAGAAAAAATGCATAAAACATGGGAATGAAATGAAACGGTACAAGATAACCAGCTGGGAGGAAATCTACATTGGGTTTTTGTGAGTCCATAGAGGTTTCAGACAGCATTTCATCAATTGTTCTGCATGGTGTGTTTCCAGTGAGTGGAATGTCTAAGTATGGATGTCCTTGGAGTTGAATTCCTACCCATCAAATTACCACTCATTTATATTAATAGTCAATTCCTGGTCGGATGTGAAATAAAACTAACTATAGAGGGCAGTGCGCAATGTTGAATGATTTTCTCACAATATAAAAACTGGAAAATGCTAAAAACTGATTTTTTTTTTCAAAATTTTAAGACAGCCACAAGCTTGGAAACTACGATTTGAGTGATTTTTAGATCAGCCCAACAAGTTATGATTTACATAAATATTTCAGAAATAGCGCATACTGTATTTTCTCTATTAAAAGTACAGTACATCTTGAATAGAAGCACACATAAAAAAACCAACAATGTCATTTATTAGTATGTTGAATACTCATTTCGACCATAGAAACATCTCTGTACTTTACGTAAGCATATGCTTTTTTTCTAAATAAGCAAATACAATAGTGCCACTTTTATAGATAGAATTGAAAATATATATCGCTTCAATTTTCACTGTTTGCTGCCTCAATGGATTGAAAGTGTTACCATAGTTACAACAAAATCCTCCTGAAGACATTGAAGAGAACTTTGTGATCAGATCAACGCAGCAATGACGCTTTGTAGAATAACAAGCACAGCTCAACTGCACAGCGCACATTGCGGCACAGCGTACATTACGGCACAGCGTACATTACGGCACAGCGTACATTACCACACAGCGTACATTACGGCACAGCGTACATTACAGCACAGCGCACATTACGGCACAGCGCACATTACGGCACAGCGTACATTACGGCACAGCATACATTGCGGCACAGCGTACATTACGGCACAGCGTACATTACGGCACAGCGTACATTACGGCACAGCGTACATTACGGCACAGCATACATTGCGGCACAGCGTATATTACAGCACAGCGTACATTACGGCACAGCGTACATTATGGCACAGCGTACATTACGGCTGCCGCAATGAGTACTTGGTGTCACAGTCTCAGTGGACACTGTTATTTGTTTTAACAGAACTCCTGAAGGTATTACCGTATATCCGATCAGGAAATGCTCATCGTTAGAATATTCTCCTTTGAAATTTGATTCTAAATATGAATTTAATAGACTGACAAAATCACTCTTTAACGATTCTTAAAATATTATTCTCTATTGGATACAGCTGGAAATCATACTGGTGAAATTGACAACATTTTCTAGCATTTTGTTTTTGTTCAATGCAGTTATTTATAATTATTGAACAATGTTTTTTTTTTACTTGCCTGGAATGGAAATATAACCACACTATTTACAGTAATAAAAGAATCATTGTGGTTGATAATCAACTTTATACGTCTCACATATTTCTATTAAATTGAAACTCAAACAAAACTCAAACAAAACTCAAAACTTAAAAAAAACGATAAAATGTCAGCATGCCATGGGAAAAACCAAACATTTCACTGAGACCATGAGGACAGCAAGGCAAAGTGAACATCGCTAATTTATCATTAACAAGAATGCCACCAAATTTATTTATCATATCTCAAAAATTTATATTTTATTTACAGTGAAATATTTATTACATCCATAGGAATAGTTGAAGACAATGGTAGAAATGTTGCCAACACATAATCAGTCTTCTTCTCTTTACATTTAGGGAAAGTTTACAAAAGGAGTACAGGGGAACTGCTGACTTCAAGAGAAGTCAACTTTGAGATCTACAGAAGATTTTATCTTTAGTAACATGTTTATTCGCGGGGGCAGACATCCAGGGATTTTCACCGCATGGCAACCAAAACTCTCAGAAAATGGTACTTTGGAATGGGTGTTGAGACTCCCCTGAAAAGTGTAACAAGATTACCCCTGCATGTGTAACTCATATAATTTTGATTGTTCAGAATTACCGGTACTTCAAAGTTGAGTTCCTATTGTTTTCTTGAATTTTCACGGGCCTGAGGATAGCACCCATGTGAACTCCTACCAGGGAAAACAAATCATGTATTGGAGTCCACATATCACTATTTCCTTATTCATGGTTACTTGGATCAACAGCCATATAGCCCATGCAATACAGACATGGAAACCCCAGTTGTTAAGAAAGCTGATGTGAGAAAAAGAAGCCAATCATAATGTGGACATTATCTATTCTTGATATTAAGGTAAGCTCTTTAACTCTTTGAGCATGAAAGTCGACTTCAGGCACCACCCACAAAATACTTTCATTTACATGTATAGTCTGTTTTTCACACAAAATGTTGCAAATATTTTTTTTAAAAATTATCAAAAACTAGAAGCGATGTCACATTTTGTCTGTTTGGTTCAAAATTAAAATTGAATTCAGTGAAA